GACTCATGTAAAATACAGTCTGTTTGATAATAAAATGTGCTCTGGGAGTGTTAGATAGTGGTTCACATTTGTAATTTATTATGTTGCGGTTACCGCAGGGCGAGCCAAGCTAATACGGTTATAGTGGAGGAGTGCGTCAGCGACGCGTGTCTCAGGACGGACCACACATCACCAACGTCACGCACATCACAGGTTAGTCATCCCCACGCAACCTACAGTCTGTGCTCTGCAACTGAGAGGTGCAAGCAGTGCAAAATTGTTTGTAGATGTGGACTTATGAATCCATAAAGATTGTCCGGGCCTGTTGGACCTGAACAGAATGTGTAGTACATTTAAACAGAACACAAGGGTCCATAAACATGAAGTGTCCAAATCTTGTTTTCCAAGTCACAATATTATGCCATTCAAGACGAGACTGCCCATGAAGAAAACAATCTTGAGTAGATAAAACTGGGAGGAAATGCTACGTGTGTGTGTGTGTGTGTGTGCTGTGGAATTCACCTTGTTGATTGTTCTGGAGAATGGCTGTTCCTTAGAAATGATGCAATCCACACTTAATGGTTACGTCAGAACAGCTGTGTTAAGAGCAGGTGAACCTCACAGCAAGCCTGAATGTGGTCAGCAGAAACTTTGCCACCTGTAGCAAAGCAAGAGCCACCATCTGTCCTGTAAGTAAGTATTATTATTATTATTATTAACAGGGTGGTAGATGCTTTAGTGTTATAATAATACTGGTACTTGTATTGACTATTTGACCTGATGTCCCTTATTAACTTGTTTTTGTCCTGTGTGCCGCTGGTTGTCCCTCCTTTTGCTGAAAGAATACACTCATTGCTCCATCGGCTACATCACTGAAGTCAACATGTTTCTCACTGAAGAACTCGAATGTGTCGTGTGCTGCAATGAGTTCTCCCGCAGTTACAGGATCCCACGAGTCCTCCACTGCAACCACACTTTCTGTGCCCCCTGCTTGGAGAAACTATCTCGGTCATACAGTGTCATCCACACTATCCCCTGCCCTCTGTGCCGCTTCATCACCTGCACAAAGGCCAGCCTGTCCCCGTCGGGGGCCCTGCGGGTCAACATAGAGATCTGGGACCAGATCGCAGAGGAGCAACAGGGGAGGAGGTGTGAATCAGTGGAGGAGTTGAATGATACAAAGACCTATGTTGACACTCCAAAAACTATTCAGCTGTGTGCTGTCTCAACTTGATGGACCTGATGAATGTGATGGCATGTCTCACTGCAAGTCGTTGCGGTGCTGCATGTAATGGACAAAGTGGTGGAAAGTAAGAACATTTACCCAAGTGCTGGACTTAAGTACAAATTTGACTTATTTGTACTTGATAATTTCATTTTCTGCTACTTCATACTTGGACTTCACTACATTTTAGAGGCCAGATCGGTACTTTTGCACAATTTTTTATAAATGTATTTTTCAGAATCAAAATATATTATGAAGCATTTTGTGTATTTTGCTAGGTTATACTTCTTTTAGGGGAGCTTGGGTATAATTTTAGCAATGTGCCTAATTCTCATGATTAATATATACACTATTCATTTTCTCTTTTTTTTAATTTTAGCCCTCATTCAGGGCAGTTTGGTTTTATGTTGACACTCCAAAAACTATTCAGCTGTGTGCTGCCTCAACTTGATGGACCTGATAAATGTGATGGCATGTCTCACTGCAAGTCGTTGCGGTGCTGCATGTAATGGACAAAGTGGTGGAAAGTAAGAACATGTACCCAAGTGCTGGACTTAAGTACAAATTTGACTTATTTGTACTTGATAATTTCATTTTCTGCTACTTCATACTTGGACTTCACTACATTTTAGAGGCCAGATCGGTACTTTTGCACAATTTTTTATAAATGTATTTTTCAGAATCAAAATATATTATGAAGCATTTTGTGTATACAGTATATTAATTTGCAAATTATTTCTACTGTTTTTGTCACCTTTCCTATGTGGTTTGTAAGAAAATCAGATTAGGATCTTTATTCTATTTATCATAAAGATGGTTTTTATATTTAAGGTTTTATTTAATATATATTAAATGGAAAATAACTACCCAAACCTTTTGTCAATTATCACAAGTGTGGACACATTTTCCCATTTTTACCCATAGCTTTTACACATCAACTGAAAACATTTTTATAGCCACAAGCACTACTGTATTTCATATATTAGATGCTTTGAATTCAGGCACAACAGCCTTCACATGTTGCATTCAATAATACAAATTAGTAGAAATGTGAGTAAATATTTAATATTACTGCAAACTGTATTCGGTATTACATAATCATGTCTGAACCACTGCCGAGCGTTCAGGCTGACATTGCTTTGGTTATAAAGCTTTTAATACAAGTTCGAACCATCAAACGTCCTCCCCTACACGTTTCTTCTACACGTCTAAGAGTTTATTTTTTTTAATGTAGCAACGAACTAGGCTACTGGTTTGGATTCTGTACAATGAAAAAGGCCAAATAGTCTCTTCAGGTTTGCTGCCTTGCTTTAAGTAAGCTACTGTACAAATACTGGAGGAATAGTCAAGTTGTTGGATAACAAAGATCCTACAACATTACTAAAATTTGTTTATCAACAATAATGGGGGAAGAATTAATTCACAGTTACTGATTGGAGAAAAAAAAAAGGTGAAAACAGTCATTGTGAATTTGTGGTTATTTTATTGAAAACAGTGACAGTGGATTATTTGAGCTGAAACCCTTTTCCCTGAATTAGTTCTAACAAATAGCCTCCTAACAGCACTATGTTAAGATGAAATACAGTTAAATATTTAAACACAAAACTGATGCAAACAACAGGGAAGGATTTACTTTAAAAACAAAACTGATAACCCACAGATTCAACTCCTTTGACTTAAGGTGCTGACCTGCTGGAGGTCTGCTCTGAATCGTTACTGTCCTCACTGTAGTCACCTGAATGTGAAAAACACACTTGGGGGTTGTGGGAGACATAACGACGTGAGGCCTTTCATCTGACCTACAGTAACTGAGCAGAAAGCTCATTAGCCTACAGCTTGCCAACACTTCCCATAGCAGAATTTGTTACAGTGTGTCAAAGGGGAAAAACAGGACATAAATTCTCCCCCATATGAAAGAGTAAAAACTGGCCATAAATCCATTTTAACGACTAGGTCCTGCACAATTACGGCTCACAGATGTCTGTGTGAATCCGTGAAAGTTTTCATACTTCAAGGACAGGAAAAAGAGAGGTTCATTTAGCTTTTTAAAATAATAATAAAAAAAACTTTAAAATGAGAGCATTTCATCTCAGTCATCAGGATGGTGATCCTCACTTTACTTTATAAATACGTTCAGCACTCAGTTAATGCAGGTTAAAGTTTCTATTGCATAAAATCATGATTAATCCTGCCACTACATTAACAGACTATCACATGTGCAATTAAATTAACATGTAGCATCACAGTTCGCACCACACCTTTCTCTGTCGACATCTTCGTGGACCTTCCCTGTCCTACATCACACTGACTAAACATAATTTAGACATAGTAAAAGACAGTTGTGAATAAACATACAGCCATTATGTCAGCTAAAACTACAGGGCCTTGTGCTGGATTAGTGTGAAACAAGGCTCATAACTTGTAATTTTCTTTGTCAGTTTCACTCGCCCAAAAGCTGGCCTGAAGTGTGGTTGCAGCTTGTGACAGGAGGAATATCTCTCTTCACACAAACGGGCGTTAAACACATTTACCACAATGCCTTAATTGTACATCTGGATATGAAGGTGATAAAATATGGACTATAAACAATATTTAAGGGAAAATAAACTGATAGAATATCAAATAAAAACAAAGAACGTTTTAAAAACAGTCCACAAGATCATGTAAATGTGTTGGAGGTGAAATGCCGCTTTCTAGACAACAGCAGCAAACTAAGTGATCAACAGTTATTCTACTAAAACACAATTAAATATATCACTGATAGTATGTGGGGAAAACAGGTTTTCTCTGTGTTAAAAGTGTGTGACTCCCTATAGGTAGGGGTACTGTGTGAGGCGCCGGGGGCTCAGTTGGTAGGCACTATAAGCCTCAGCCCGGGGTGTCACACTGACATAAGGAGAGCCGGTGGCGAACTGATGCTGGTATGCTGCAGGGAGGCCGTGCAGCAGGCTACTGACAGACTCCTTGCGACTGGCCGAGTCTCTCCTAGAGGAGGAGGATGAGGTGTATGTTGCTGCATAGGCAGAGGGAGAGTGTCCGTGGCTGCTGCGACCACGGCCAAGCAGCTGCTCCATGGCCTGAGAAGCTGAGGACAGGGCCGTGGGGGTTGGGTAGGTGTACAGGCTGGTGTTAGGGGCCGAGGCCGACACCTCGGGGAAGCTGTAGTGAGATGCAGAGACGGCTGGCGGGAACGTCTGCCGGCGGTGCAAAGATGAGTCACTGTGGGATGCCCCTGAATGCTCCTGAGACGAAGAAACCACGGACTGAACCTAAAAGAAACCTCACTTAGTATTCACGCAACTGCATAAATGCAACAATTACAAGTCACTTGTATCATCTTCCAGGTTCTGTAATTATAAACAATAGAATCCATCTTTGTTGTAACATACAGGAGGGAGCTGCTTTACAGCAGTGAAAGTATTAGTTCCTAACCTTTGAACTTACTACAGCCAAGTGGCAGATCCTCGGAGCCCCTCGCCACAGTTTGAGTACTGTATGCTTATGCTGCTATGAGTGGTTCAACATCAAAATGTTAAAATACTTCCACTGCAGATAGCTACAATTTCTAATTTAAGAGTCCTGAAGAAACTAATCTCTCTGTTGTTTAAAAGTGAAAACACAAAAGGCATATCAGGAGAAAAACAGAGGACATTTAGGACCAGCCCCCATAATCAGCAGACGTTTTCTTATCACAGATATACTGATAATGGCACATACATTAACAGATGAAACGGCACTACATAACTACTGAATGTTTGTTTTAGGTCATTTGCAAATGCCCATCTGCCATTATACTGTCTGTCCAGCAGAGGGCACTTTGGACTGTTTACACCACACTGAACCAACTTTGTTTTTCCACTGTAATGTAAATCTCTGACACTTAGTAACTCTGCAGTGGCAGGTCTTAAGGCTGTGCTGTAAATATTTTACTGTGTGTGTAAAAACAGCAGCCACTGTTGCTGATATCTTGTTTACTGCCTATAGCAATACCTGTAAATATACATTGTATAGATTATACAGATCTATACAGGTCTCTATCTTTAAGTACTCTGCTTTTATTCCTATTTATCTCATTTCACAATGAACATTCCTTTGCATTGTTTACTGCCTGTTTATACTGCTTATTTTGCATTGCTTGCATTGTTTACTGCCTGTTAATACTGCTTATTTTGTTATATTACACAGCCTTATGATGGTTTACTGTTTACTTGCCCCTTGCATGGGGATATGTACATGCGCATTGAGAGCCGATGTACCAGAGTCAAATTTCTCATGTGTCCGACACACGTAGCCAATAAAGCCGATTCTGATTCTATAGCCAATATGTTCATTGTTGTATAGATGAATGTGATTCTCATGTTTATTTATTTTGTTTGCACTGGAACAACACAAAAAAGCCAAATCTGATACCTTCCACGCAGAACTCCAAAAATGGACTGGACAGAATTATTGACACCCTCAGCTTAATATTTGGTAGCACAGCTTTTTCTCCATGCTCAGTGTGGTCCACACGACAAAATGGTTGAATTAACTTTTCTCCATTTTAACTTGCCAACACGTGTTGGTTGCTACAGCAGTTTCATTACAAATTAAAGGAGCATCACATGCTTGAAATACTACTGTTTCTGATGATTTTGAAAAAGGTGTCAATCCTGTCTGTCCGTTTTTGGAGTTCTGTGTGGAATTGATCAGATTTGGTATTTTCTCTGCTTTTTTGTATTGTTCCAATGCAAACACAAGAAAGTATTTGTGATTGCAACAGTTTTCTGGGAGAGGTGGTGCCTTATCTGACAGAAATGCAGGGGTACCAATATTTTTGGCCATGACTGTAAGATACTGACATTACCACCCTTTCCCCTCAGCTGCTTCCATTATACTGTCCAGCTGCTGTGTCTGACAAACAGGTGTATTTGTCAACACATCAAAACGTTCACAACAGTTTAATGGCATTTAAGCAGATATAAAAGTCCTCACCTGGCTGAGATTTAAAGGGTGCGACTGGCTTGGCACCAGCCCATGACGCTCCACGCTCCCCCCTGAACTGCAAGGCTGTCGGTTGGATCTCTTAGGCTTCATATAGCTCGCTGGGGATTTAAAATTTGAAGTATTAACTTAAGCTGTGTTTGCACACAAACAAACCAATTCCTGACAGCACACAAGTGATTCTCACTGGTCTCCAAGCGTCCACGTGAAGCTGCTCCTCTCTCCGAGCCTTGGGTTTTGACTGAAGGTGCCACCACTGCCAGAGACTTAGCATGGCGTGATGACATAGCGCTGGCTGGGTTAAGGGTGCGGGGCAGAGGAGTCAGGGGGCTGGCTGTCGAGGAGTCTGAGTCATGCACGGTAACACAGCTGATAACGTTAGTGCGCTGGCTTAGACCAACACTGTGAACAAAGA